CATCGTAGGGGTCCTCCAACTTTTTCAGAATTATCCAAGAGGTCATTGAAGTCTCCTGTGAGTAGCCAAGGAGAATCTCTTCCTTCTCCGATATCTGATACTGTTTCCCAGAATTTGGCTCTGTCTCCTTGTTGGGGAGCGCCATAGATAAAGGATACAAACATAGAGGTATTGTTGTATTGAATTCTGGTATCAATAATATTAGCCGTGGAAGAGAGGATTTCAATGTTGACATTGTTTTTCCAAGATAAAGACAGTCCTCCACTTAGGCCCAAAGGAGGGACAGTGAAGTGGTTAACAAAATCAGAACCTCTAAATAGGCTGAATACATCCTCATCAGATCTTTTGGTTTCCATAAGGAACATTATATCTGGAGAGTTCTTTGAACGGAACTCCTTCAATCGTCGGACTGTCAGGTTGCTCCCCATACCTTGACAGTTCCAGCTCATACATACTAAGGAAGAGATTTTGGAACGGACCGAAAATCCGATCCTTTCCGAGAGCCCGCTGGTTTGACTGATGGAAGAGCCGTTCCTCCAGCTTCTGATGTTGCTTCATTTGTTTGAGAGTTCTCTGGAGTAGGGCGTCTTTTGGGAGAGGGCTGAGAGTTGGTGACCCTGCGCTTCTTTAGGCTAATCCCAACACCTACGTTCCTGATAACGCGTTTCTTAGCTGCTGTGGGATTAGTAGGAGGCTTAGTAGGAGGCTTAGACGAAGAGGGTTTTGTTGCATTTTTCCTCGGTCTTCCTTTAGCCTTTGTTCCTGGTCGTTTTGTCCCTGCTTCCTGTAATAGCGGGAGATCATCTATCTCAGGAACGTCTTCATTTTCTGCATTAGTCAACGGCCCCAATCGAAGTGAGACATGCATTCTGTCAGCACTCAAGGTACGGATTGGAGACCGATCAGGCAGTCCCAATCCCCCTGTTCTGGAGGTTGAAGGAATGGAATTCCCGCCGGACCTGGGGAGGGGGATAGTGTCTTCAAGGTATTGGATATCAACTTCCTGGAGGCGACCAGACTCTGAGTTAGCAATGCCATCCTGCAGAAGAGGGATCCTTACAGGCGTTTTCGATATCCGATTGAGTGCTGATTTTCTTCCTTGAGAAGGAGAATTCCCGTCACCCGATTTCAAAGAGCTTGATCGACGTCCAGAGTTGGGATCGATCATACCTTCCCGGGGAGGATTCGGTGAGGGGGTGTGCGAGATTTGTGAGTGAACAGAACCAGATCCTCCCACAACTGGTCTCCATTCATTCCTTTGTGAGCCTCCCTTAGAGCGTGAGCCTACCGTTCGAAGAGAACCAGAGTTTTCATTTGGGAAAGATAGTCTCTCTCTTGCAGTGGGGCGAGGGTGGCTTAGTCCAACCTGCTCAGCGGGTTGATTCCTTACTTGGTAATGAGGATCACGCCTAACTCCATAGTGGTTATGGAATTCTCTGTCCCTGTTCCACCCTTCCTGTTGATCGAAATTCCTTTCAGAGTAGCGAGACCTCTCAGAAGCTTCGAAGGAATTATAAGATGTAGCAGCTCGATTATGCTTTCTGTATTCCTGGCGATGTCTATCTGACTCCAGTCTCTCCAGAGTACGTGACTGTGAGATGCCCATTTGACTGGTTCTTTGATCTTTAGAATTTCCCCTAGACCGAATCTCCGGGCAGTCAGCTTGTTCATGAGAGAGCGAGTGGCAGTGAAAGCAGTGTTTTCCCAAGTTTTCATACTCCAGTTCCACTTCCTTAATCTCGCCAGCTAGACTGATATCCAGTTTCATCTCAAGTGGTTTTAGTCCATTGACCAGAACGCGGATCTTTCCTTGTGATGTGCGTTTATCTTCTACAGGGCCAATTTCCTTTCCAATTGCCTCAAGAGTTTCCTCATTCCAAAAGTGGAGTGGTATACCGTGTATATTTATCCAGAACGGAATAAGCGCTGGAAAGTAATCAGAGACTATCGGCTCCCACCTTTGTAGAATAATCATCCACCGTTTAAAGTGGTATGGCGCCCCAGAGAGGATCATTTGAAGATCATATTCCGTTTCAAACTTGAACTGGAATAGATTAGGCCCCAGGTCTCTGCCAGTCATGGTCCCTTTAACTTGCCAGTGTTGCAGGAAGAAATCCACTAGAGCTCTGGTCTTTTGAATAGCTGGATTTGTGACCCTACCAATGAGTGTGAGCCTGTGTTCTTCGATAAGAGCTTTGTTGTTTGAGACCGGTATCGTAATCGGAGGTCTTTTTAACGGACGTCGAGAGTTAGACGTCCACTTTCCTTTCTCTGTTCTAGAGTGACGGTACGACATGATAACCAAGAGATTGTCTCCCAATGCTGTGACGTGTAGCTTACTAAACCGTAGCGTGACGGTAACGGAACCCCACAAAAGGGTAAGAATCCTCAGCAACGAGTAAGTACCTCAGTGACGAGTATATGCTTGCAGTAGGCAGTAAGAGTGAAAGCTTTGAACCAGTTAGTCTCCATACGCATGTATTTCTTTGCTAACTTCACTGTTCATGCACGGACTTCTTGTTCAGATCTGCATCATTTGAGTTGTTTGCTCGAAAATCTGGACCGGTAGATAGGTAGATCTGTCTCTGATACACCTTTAGAGCTGAAAAAGCCGTCGGAAAATAAAGTACGGTGGAGATTTGGTACTGTAGACGGTGGTAACAGTGCCTCATACGGTGGAGAAGAAGCAAAGTCAACTTTCTACAGAGAGCATCATCAATACTACTCTAGACATTGATAAAAACAATAACGAAAGCAGAAGGAAAATATATATACGAGAAAAGTATCATAGGGTAGAACAAGACTTGGATAAAAATAGTATTTCTTATGGAGGACAGTATAAAGAGAATGAATCCGTGAAAATAGTTTTGAGCTTCCAAGAAGGTCATGATTTCTGTAGAAAGTCATCTCATCATTAAATGGTNCTCTAGACATTGATAAAAACAATAACGAAAGCAGAAGGAAAATATATATACGAGAAAAGTATCATAGGGTAGAACAAGACTTGGATAAAAATAGTATTTCTTATGGAGGACAGTATAAAGAGAATGAATCCGTGAAAATAGTTTTGAGCTTCCAAGAAGGTCATGATTTCTGTAGAAAGTCATCTCATCATTAAATGGTCCACCACCTTAATTTCAGGGTCACCAATCTTATGATTTTTCATGTGGACTCTCTCGTCATCTCATCTGCCATCATCACGCATGTATAACATTATACTACTATTAATTTGTTACTCGAACAAAAGCAATGAAAATAATTTTACACCCTCTTATCCAAATAACAGAAAGTATTACTTCCGGTGAAATTTATTTTTCCATCCGGTGAAATCATGAGAACAGGCATCCCATATTACTTGTTCAGATCGATCTCAACCACATGTCGACTTAGACCTCTTTTTTAGACAACCAATGTATATTAAATGATTTAATTAATGTTAGTGGAGATCAAAATCAGCTTATATTAGATGTACGGTACATATTATACCACATGCGATGCGACAATTGAGAAACTAGCAGTTCGTCGCGAAGATAATATTAATTACAAAGATGTATTGTACCTTTTGGTTTGAACTGAAAGATTGGTATTAACTCTATTTCTTTGCTAAAATAAACCACCTATAATGGTATTATGAGCTTACTAAACCGCGTCTTGTGCATGTACGTTTGAAATGAAAAGATATATGAATATGATACGTATATGTAAGTTCATGCATCAAGTAGTTACTAACTCTTATGAACATCTGTCATTTTCATATAGTCTCGATTTCATGTATTTATTAAACAAAACTGAGTATACGTGTATAATAAATGTAGGTATACTATGAAGTATGAAAAGTCATAGAAATAATTCCACATATCTGTAACATGGTCGTGATTAGAAAAAATGAAGAGAAAATCACGTGAAGCATGTCCCACCTTACCCCTTAAAGACAGAGCATCTCACTATTTCAAATCTTCAAAAACATTTATTTCATATTTTTTGTGTGAATTATTTATTTCCAGTTATTTTCATGAAATAAAATGGACAATTCTTTTCTTTGCTATTAAGCGTTGTGATTCGTCTCTGGTATTTTTTTTATTTTTTTTTGAAACACACTCTGGTATTTTGTTATTGTTGTAATTTATGGATAATATTAGATTACATATGTGAACACGTTTCTGCATTGTGTGTATTAAGCTGTTGGCTTTTCTAATTTGTCAGTATCATTGTAGTATTGCTTAAGCTTTCTGTTATAAATTATTTATATTGCTATTATTGATGGATAAATTTAAAAGGTCTGAGTTTAAGGAGATGTATCAATACACGTGAGCTAACCTCTTAGCCCCACACCCTTTATCTCCCTCACTTAAAATCATTCACACCCATCAAATGATTTTTCAGTTTTTGTTGCGTTCATTAATCTAAAAATAAAATCAATGTTATCTGGAGCTAAAATTATATGATTTTGTAATTTAAAAAACAAGATTTCTATTTAGACTATAATAAATAATATATTGATTTACATGGAATAGTATGGCATACCGGATTAAAAATCTTCTTCAACTTCTTTTTCACTACTTTTACCAAATTTAAGTTATCAGTTTCTCGATCCATCTGTTTAGTTATAAATTATGGTGTTATTTCTAGGTGGGATTTTTATCAAATAAATATATTTCCATTATGGTTTCTACGGTTAAAAACAAAACTAAATTGGCCACCAGTGTCTCATTCCGATGAACTACTAGTAAAGAATAATAGATCTGTAGAAACTTTGTAATCATAAAATCTTAGTGGATACTTTTACAAATATATACACGATCTTCCTGTAAATAGAATCAATCTAAGACCACATAGAAAATCTTGAAAAGGAAGGAGCAAAACGGATGTGTTTTGTAGTTTACGTCGTTTTAAGTGTGAACCAACCCATATCTAATTACAAGCTTACGATAAGAAATATAATATATCAGTTTTATATTCAAGTGAACAAAGCAATCATTTGGTAAGACGTAATAAATCACTGAAAGTTGTATAAATTTTATTATATATAATTATTCATTTTTACAAGGAAAATTATATTGTACTACTAATACATTTGAAGAAAATAACAAAAGCAGATGGATTAGTAAGTACTATTATCTTCTTCTTTTTCTCTACAAAATGAAAACTATAATTACAAACTATATTTTTCTTTATCAACCAACAATCCCACCGAAAAATTAAGTGGGATCGTTGAAGAGTCTTATCTATAAAGACTATTCTCCAATATTCCCCAAATTATAACTCAAGACTTTTTCCGGATTTACCTTATAACTAATTCCTAATTGGATGTGAAACAAAAAAAAAACAAATTAATTAATAAGTAATTAACAAGCTGCAGAAGGACTAGTGAAAGGGTTGTAGAAGCGAGGCTTTGTGACGATGGAGAAAGCTCCCTTCGCCGTTCCTCCATCAACCTCTACCGTACCTCCGCCACCTCCTCCAACACCACCACCACCACCACCACCGCCGAGTCTCTCACAAGAAGGACACATCGTTAAAGTCGCCGCCGGCATATGCATGTAAAACGGTTGTGACATCTTTAAAGCCTTAAGATCCTGAAGCTCTTTTTGAAGCCTTCTATTCTCATCCGTTAAAGTCTCACAACACTTCTTCAAAATCTCACAATCCACTTCTGTTTGCTTTAATTTTGTCCTGTACAATTTTTTTTTAAAAGTCATATATAAGAATATAAAGTAATATACATGGACCAAAATTTTCTTAAAATATTATCAATTTAATTTTACCTAGCTCTCCTGTTTTGGAACCATACTTCAACTTGTCTAGGCCTTAGATTCAGCTGTCTTGCAAGAGCTTGTTTTTGCTTCTGTGAATATTAAAAAATAAAAATAATTAGGATATGATCAACGTAAAATAATAACAAATTAACTAAAAGGAAATAAATATAATAATATCATACGGGATTAAGAGTGCTGTGAAGTTTAAAGTTATCTTCAAGAAGAGCGGATTGTTGTTTAGTGAGTCTAAGCTTTTTACGAGCACTAACACCTTCTTCGTCTTCATGATCATCACTCACTCTCGAACACACCACTCTCTCTGTCGTCTCTCCCGCCTCTTCTTCCCCGCAAACTTCTCTTTCTCTCTTGACCCTTCCGCTCGAGAAAGATGAGATTCCGCTATGAGACGAAGTCTGCCGACAAACTTGGCTTCCAGCGCCGGCAACGTTCATCTCAACCGTCTTGGTCATGTAGCTCTCGCCAGAGAGGCTTAGGGTCAACGAAGGATCAACGGTTGCGGAAGATTTCTTGGTGGCGTTATTGTAGATATTAGGGGTTACTGAGAGGCCTAAACAAAGAACAAGACCCGTGTTGCATGAATCATCAAGACCCATCTGAAGAAAGTAAAGATGATCTTGTTATAATAAAAGGTAGAAAAACTTGGAGAGTAATAATGATAAGAAGAAAAGAAGAAAAGTATTTGTTTGTTGAGAAATGCTTTTGGTGAAGTTTGGAAGATAATTGGGACGAAATGAAACGGAGCGGCTTCTTCTTAAGAAGGAGAAGAGAGTTTTTTTTGTTGTGGAATAAAGAAGGTTGTAACTCTCATTGTATTATTAATCACGTGGTTACACATATATATATACATACAAGAGAATAAAGCATATTCCTTAGGAGATAAGGATTGCTACAAATAAAGGGGATGATTATCCTAATCCTATAATGATTAGGATAACTACAACATATGGATAAATACAAGGGAGGATAATGACTAGT